ATATTAGTCACAAGTTTTTAGGTAGGCAGAGGAGCCATTATTATTGCAAATAGTAACAATGAAGAAAGCAAGATGACCCTGTGATTACCCTAGGTAAATGAATCCTTTCTTCCTACAGCTCAGAGATTCACAAAACTGGGCAAGACTGGAGCATGTTTCAAACCTAAACATCTTTCTCTTCAGGGTACAGTTAAGGGAAAATGCTGCAAACCTTTAGGAGCTTGCTTTCCCACATTGATCCCTGGAGAGTGCACATTCCCTTCCTAATAAAGAAGGGTGAGCAAAGACAGTGCAGTGGATACAGCTGATAGATTATTTTACTACCTGGCCTGCTACAGAACATGCCGCAATGCCATGAGTTCTCATCTGATTAATATTGCTGTGTCCCCTGGTCCTTAATATTACTGGTCCTCACTGCACCGACTATTGGTTAGCACGCCTTGGGCACTGAGCAGGAATAAACCACTGACAGTACTCTGGTAGTCTGCAGCTGCGGAAAAATACTGAAAGAAGATAAAGTACTCTGGTGAAAGTTTTGGGGTTCATTTTACATGATTCTAGGTAGCCAATCACAAACAAACATCCCCAAAAGTCAACTTCTAACTATGTTCCTTTCCTGTGGCTTAAATCCATGCCCATTCTGAACGACACACGAGGAGGATGAGTGCAGACCACAGCCCACAGATGCTCCCCAGGTGGCATTCTGTGCAACTGAACCCAAAAATTAGCAGCCCCCCCCAACACACAAGCCACCTAGCCACCTAACCACCCTGTTCCTGTCTATGTGATGCTAAATCCAACTACGTTAGCCAAGAATGACACTTTAGATAGAGCTATGAAAATAGTAGATGAGATTTAACTCTTAATAGTTCCATAAGTCTGTGAGGCATCTACTTAGAGAGTGGGCTGAGCCAGGGAGGGTCTATCGGGGTGAAAGAACCAAGCTCAGGGCACAGGACTTTTATAGGAATTATTGCCATCATCTGTCAGGCAAGACTGAGGGAAATGTGGTGTCCAGCACAAACAGCTAAGGAGTGAAACTGGGATTCACACGTGGGTTATATTTCTGTATCGCCTTCTGAACTGCTGCAAGGGCTTGGGGGCAATGTGGCACTCATCTCTGTTTTCCCTCAGCAAAGTGGGGCTGCATTTATGTCATGTATGAAAACTGCAAGGTCACCACGCAGTGCTTCAATACCCATGTGGTTTACTTAGTCACGGCCATGCTCAGAGAACAGGCATCTCAAATCCACAGCTGTGGCAAAGTGCTTGTTAAAAAGTTTTTCTGTTTTTTTTTTTCTTTTTTCTTTTTTCTATAATGCATCTCTCGGCTGTCTTTCTTGTTGTGTCTTCTATAGTCTGTATCAACAAGCCTCAGCAAACATATCTGACTTGCAACTATACTATCTAATTACTGATTACATCTTTCTATCAATACAGATAGCTGTGTGTTTACAATTTTCCTCATACATTTGCAGAATAAGTGATTGCTAAGATCTCCATTACACAGGTAGGTGACTGGAATGTAAAGACAATGTGTCCCATACAAAGTCTGTGTGTGAAGTTGGTAACAGGAAATTGTATCTGGATCTCCTCAATTCCCAAGCTGAAGCATTAGCCATGTTTTTTCCAAGCACAGATTAGTCCTGTCTGACAGCTGCTGGAGTAATACTGAAAGAAGAGCCTCTGGTCCCTGAGGAAATACTAAGCTGGATGCTCACATCCTTTTTCAGAGAAATCTCTCTAAGTGTTACCAGAAATGAAGTCACATGTACCTTATTTCTGGTCAAATGAGCATTTCCTTGACAGCAAATTTCAGGTATACTTTTGTGCGATGATTAATTTACATGCATCGATCTTCTATGAGAAAAAAAGACAACTGAGTTTCATCTTATGGAAATGAGTTTTATATAATTGCAAAAATAATGCAGGATTTCGGAGGAAAATTGAGTGTCAAGTGTCTCCAGCAATTTAGGATGTCCGGGGGTGCACAATTGCTGTAATTAATTACCATCATCTTACAGAATTGGTTCTAATTAGCTGATGCTTTTCCACTAAGAATATATCAGAAGCACCTTCATATTGCAAGTGCACGCCAAATTTTTCCCCCAAAAGCTCAAAGTTAGCATCCAGCATACAGGATATTTTCTAGGGTGCGGAAGACATAATCTAGCTGAACTGTTTAATTCATACAAATAGCAGAAAGTCAGGCACTAGTTTGGGGATTCGGGCACATAACGACACCCAAAATACAGCACTAAGTAATATGAAGGATGAGTGTAAGCTGCTGGCCTGGAATTCAGGGGAACTGATTTAATTTCTACTCTCTGCTATGCACTTTGTGCACAATACTGTGCAGATCACTTAACATCACTGTGCTTCATTTCCTTATATGTAAAGCAATGAAGTAAAGGCTCTTAAGACTTTCGGGTTAAGGGGTAAAGGGGAGTTTTACTTGGAGTTTATGATTCCTCACACAACTCATACTGGCATGAAAGCTAACATCCCACTGAGGCCGTGAGGAGGCTGATGGCAAATGTCTTCCTTGAGTAGTCTTTCTTCTCAAACACCCTCTCATGGTTCATCACAGAGTTTCACTTTGAAATTGTAAGATTGACCCATTTTTGCAGGCTTTTGGAGAAGGACAGGTTGGAGGGATGTTTTGGTTAATTTTTGCAGGTTGCATGTAAGGGGAAATATTTTTTATGGTGAGAAATGGCTTTCCCCCCCCCTCTCTGTAAAAACGCTTTGCACTGTAACAAGCAATTCTTTTAAATAATAAGAAAGATAAGACTATCTTATAAGCCCTTCCAAATCTCACCACATAAGAATGGTTATATTCACTGAACACATTTCATTAGGATTGCTAAAGATAAACCCTCTCTGTTTCTTTGGATCTTCACAAAAGCTTTTAAAATTGTAGACTTATATCTGCAGGAAACAACTATTATTAATGAAGCAGCTGGATTTCTTTTTAAATAGGTTACTTTGCAGCCATTTGCTCTGCTAATTATTAACAGAAATGCTGATGATATAGCTACAGTGCTTTGCGATGCTCAATATTATCTAAAGTCCTTTTAAAAAACATTTTAGAAGAATGAACCATATCTGAAGTGTGAATTGAAACTAAAATAATACACATGGAAACCAGCTGCAGAAATGATTAGCTCACATTTTCTCCTAGCAGATTTGCCTACAAATATATCTGATGCAATGTGAGAAGTATTGCTTCACAATAACATCATAATTTTGCTGATGTCAGTTTCTATTAAAGTAGCCTAATAAGTAGTAACTATTCTGATAAATAAATGCATGTGAAGAGTAATTGGAATATAGATATCATACTAGAGCAACTCAGAGAAAGGTAATTCTCTCTCATGAATTATTTCAGTATTTGGTTTTATTCTCTTCTATGAAATTCTTCACACGTGCACACACACACGCGCGCACAGAGCAGAGTTTCAGGCCCAGGCAAGTCTTCCTGGGGCACTGTTGAAAAATTACAGAGCAGTGAAACCCCAGGTACTGAAATCAGTGGCAGTCTGCCTGCTGCAGTAGAGAGATGAGCCAGAAAAGCAAGGGGGGTGATTTTTAAAACCTACCTAGTTTCTAAGAAGAACTTGATGATATCAAACTCTCTCCCGAAAAATAACTTGATTTTGAGGGATCAGCAAATTCTCACCAGAAACTGTGGTGCTGGTGTGTTTCTGACAACATAGCAGATGTCTGTCATGTGTCTTGACAAAGGAAATTAAAAAATTATTTGGGAGAGTTGATGAAGAAGACAGCAGGAAATGCTAGAGAAAAAAATACAATGGAATAATCCAAAGTAAAAGGAAGGGAGAAACAATGTCTAGAAATATAAGATAATGGCTCTGATGTGTTCTCAAGGGTATTCCAGATGCTCTTCTCCGCTTGTGGCTACCTCTTTTCTTGACCTGCTGTCAAATAAGTACTTGGTATGACTTCCTCTCCGTCTCACTGATTTAGTCTTCTTTCTAAAGTGTTGGCTGTTCTTTCCCTCCTGCTTACTCACTCTTTTCACTTAGCAGTTCCTTTTTCCTGCCACCACAGCATCCTTGATCTTCATTGTCTAGATTTTCCTGCAAATATTGTCACAGCTCCTTGTTGAACACCTCTCCTTTGCACTTGGGAAACCCTTTCAAACATGTTCACAAAACCATAGTCATCCGATCCCATATGCCAGCTTTGCCTACAACCCCAACTTTACCATTCTACAAGATGGCAATGGTGAGGCAGTGGGCTAGTAAGGATTGACATCTACTTTTTAAGACAAATTTTAAATACTTGACAATCAAATTATTTGCACAGGGTCCTATGCCAGTGAACCTCTGGAGCATTTCCCAGGGTTCTGTTAACAAAGAGACCATTTCAGGATAAGTTTAGCTTAGGGGGTCATCCTTTCCTTCTACTTTTCTAAGAAAATTGAATACAATTGTATCAGATATTATTCATGTTTTCTGTAGCCCTTCTTTAATGTTTATTAGTGACCTTTGGAGGTTAATTAATGCCAGGACATTTCACCCATGATCTGTTTTCTAATTCAATTTGTTAAATGCAAGTAACCATAAATAATTATAAATCAATTACTGAGTCTATTCTACACTTCACCAACCAAAAAAATCATAACAAAGTATTTTTGAAGACGCCTGAGAAAAATGAACCGCTTCCGTAAGGCTAGGCATTTGTGCTTCAATTTATCTTTTCCTTCAGAAAAAACACTATTTGAAATACATTTTGCTAAATATGGGAAGTACCTTTGCAGAAGAAATCAATTATATTCTTAAGTTTAAATCTTTTTTTTCCAGCCATGTGCAATGTATCACTGTATCTTAGAAATGCACCCTGGGAAAAATGCTTCTATTCTTCACTAAAAATCCATGAATAACATTATGTAGAAATTAGTTTATGATAAATGATTTAAAATCTTAACCTAGAATGGTGTCTTATTCAAATGTCATCAGAAAATGCCACCTCACCCGCAGAAAGGAGTCAAGGGATCCATTCTCCATATATTCAACTACAATCATTACTGGTCTGCCTGCAAAACAGCAAAGAAACACATTAGGGTTATGGATATATTGTGGGGCTTTTACAATTCCAACTGTTACACACAGATTATGCACAGAAGTTAAATATGTTACCCATTTTCAAAATCCTCATTTATATCACAAACACAATTCCCTGTGTTATTCCCTAAGAATTATTTTCTATCTTTTTTGTTGCTGTTGTTGTGGTACGGGGTTAGCTGAATGTGCACAGTTCGTTCCAGTGTATTCTCTCCTTAAAAAGGATCAAAGAAGAACCTGTTATTTCCAAATAGCAACACCTACTGTGTAACATTTTTGAATATATTTGAGTTACGGCAAAAAAATAATAATTCCTGAACCATATCCAAGAAACTACAAACTCAGTGCTATAATTTTCCTCTCAAATATTGCAATGATTTACTGGCATACAGATTGACAGGTAGAAGCGGATGTCACAAAAAGCCCTCCTAGATTGGGTGTGTGTATTGTGCGTGTATAATCCAGTAAAACTGTGAATTCATATATTTGTACATACATAACATACACGTGATGTTACTCAAATCAGTTTTGCTCGAGTAGCACAGCTTTCCTGTATGGTACCAGAGCGGGATCATATCCAAATTGAAGTAGAAGAACATGTTACATTTATTTCTTAAAAGAATATCCAAATCTGAAGATAAACTTTTAAACTGGGTACTTTAACTGGGTACTTTTTGCTGTTGATACCCAGGAATAAACTACAACTCTAGAACCGCTTGACAGGAGAGGCCAAATTAGCATGCTAATCAGGCTATGCAGCAAGAATTTTTTTAGAATTGTTAATATTACAAAGCAGCCATTCTAACATATGCAAAATTAATGCAATGAATAAGTATGTTAGTAAGACTGGGAAGGAGGTAAAAATACTTAAAATGGTGAACTTTTCTTTTCCTGAGCACACCTGTCTCTTTTGGGGTTTGTGGGAAACTGGGGTGTGCCAAGTGGTGACACCACAAGTCCGCCCATTTCACTTTCTTCATACACGACTAGCTGTTCCAATATTTCTCAAATCCAAAGGAAGTCTCTTTCATGACTTTTTTCTCTGCCCCTCAAATTATTTTTGTGTTTTATTTGGACAAGGGGATGAGAAACAAACACAACGTTCAGGGTGAGAAAGCATAGAAGGGCATTATGGTTGTTCCAGCACAAGTCCATTTCTGTACATGATAACTTTCTGCTCAGTTTGGTTAACAGTGGAAGTGTTTATTAAACTGTCCACAGTATACAATAAGCCACAGCCAGGTTTGACACCATCCCACACTATATCCTGGTCTCTAAATTGAAGAGACATGGATTCGACAAATGGACCACTCGGTGGATAAAGAACTGGCTGGATGGTCGCACTCAAAGAGTTGTGGTCAACGGCTCGATGTCCAAGTGGAGAGCAGTGACGAGTGGCGTTCCTCAGGGGTTGGTACTGGGACATATACTATTCAACATCTTTGTCGGCAACACGGACAGTGGAGTCGAGTGCACCCTCAGCAAGTTTGCCAATGATACCAAGCTGTTTGGTGAGGTAGACACGCTGGAGGGGAGGGATGCCATTCAGAGGGACCTGCGCAGGCTGGAGAGGTGGGCCCAAGCCAACCTCATGCAGTTCAACAAGGCCAAGTGCAAGGTCCTACATCTGGGTTGGCGCAATCCCAAGCACAAATACAGGCTCGGCAGGGAATGGCTGGAGAGCAGCCCTGAGGAGAAGGACCTGGGTGTGCTGA